GCAAAACTCGAGCAAATGAAAAATATCCTGCATGCACACGCAAGATTCTTGATTTTCCTCGCGTACCAATGCGTGTTTTCGAAATTGACGTTTGACTGGATTCCGTCTTAATTCAAAAAGTTTTCTATCATATCAAATAAAAATTCAATATTCTTGAATAATAGAAATTTGCGAAATATTTTAACACCCTTTGAATCTCACACTAGTCTAGTATTGTTGAAAATAGCTATAAAATGTTAATAACCTCCAAAACTAGGGAAACACTTAGGTGAACGACGATTTTTTATTCATAGTTCTTGATAGATTTCTTTCAAAGATATGATGTTTTCTGTTGGAGACTTTTTCCATATAAACTCTCCCGTCGAATAGCGATAGAACCTCATCGTTTATCATTGATAGGCAGTTTTGTGGAATCTCTCTTATTCCTAGACACAGTAAAACGGTCATCAGACGACTTTATGATTTGCCGATTAGGATCATATTACCATTGTTTCTGTGTCAAAACGAGCCAATTCGTAGTCTATAAAATTGAAAATAATATTTTGAAAACTTGACGTACTTCAACTATGAGCATTTTTTACTTGCTAGAAGAAAAAAAATTTTCAAAACAATGTCAGTAGGTTTTTGTATACTATGAAATGAATATGGTTGACAGAAGAAATTTTCAATTGGAACGATTTGAATTCTAGTTTCATTGACATTGAATGCATAACATTTATTCAGAAACAATATTAACAGCTCTTTGGACATTTCCCATCGTTTAAGCCCCCTTTCCCCCTTCCGCTTAGAAAATCGAACTTTTAAAAAAATATCGAAATTTAGTTTTCATCGTAGGAGAATGCAGCGATCTTCACTAACATATTTTCCAAGAAATTTTCGTGGTTTTTAAAGGTTTTTTCAGTTTTGGAAAACCTGCCTTGTTACTTCGATTATCATTGATTAGAAAAATTTTATATTAACCAGCATGCCAGAGGGCGTTAGCTACTTTCATCTATTACGTACTTTAAAACGATCCGCTAGTATGAATTAATGATATACCATAGTGATATGATTTGTTCTGCATATGAATGAAAAAAATCCATTTCTAAAACTTCTTTAGCGTTTTTCTCAAAACACGGTTTCTAGGTAGAAAATTTGAAATAACTCTTACTCGACTCGGAGTATGACCGATGTTTCCTTTTTCTTTTAAAGGCCTTAACCACAGCTAACTTTTCATCGGACGAGTTTTTGATATTTAATTCCTAGATGGGGAAAGGTGGATGTACCTTTGTGATGCCACCTTTTTTCTGCTTATTTTTAGCATCATGTTCATTAAAATGCTCATAAAAAATTAATAGAAAGGAGTTTCAAAATTCCGTCCGATAAAAAGTTAAGCACAGAGGCTAGCTTTAATTTGAAACCAGCTCGAGCTTTGGAGCCCTTATAATGATGCAGTTATTTCGATTCCCCTGAGAAATAGAAAAATAAACCGGAAGTTCCGTCTGATCAGGTATATTAGACTGAAATTTTTGCCACAAGCGTTTCTCACAAGGATTAGTCGTTCCTGAAAACTTCAGCAGAAACATTCCGTTCAATGTAGTAAATCAAGTCTGAGAGGATGGGGGTTAAGCTGACAATAATTCATGTTAAATAGGGAAAGAGAATAAATGACAGCAATATTTTTCTCCTAACAATGTTTAAGGAGCTCACCGACAAATTCGAGTATTATAAAAGTTCATTTTTTCTAAAATCCAACAATTAGTCGTTTCTTTTCACAAAAAAGCTTTATTTGTCGATTGTGTTCGTCAATCGTGTAGTCAATAATGTTTAAACATCGAATCAAAACAGCTTGAAATCGAAACGAATTTGTTGAGTAACATTAGGTTAAGACTTGTCAAAATAATTTTACTCGAAGAAAATAATTTTCAAAGAAGTCTAATTGAATAATAGTACATTAGCTTCTTCACTGACTATTGGTACTCTTGCATGTTAATAGAAAATTTTAATCACTAAGAAAATATCCATGGAATGATCCACGAATGTGAAAATTCTTAAATTTATTCTCCAGTAGCAACCGGTAGGTTTTTTCTAGATTCCCACCGAGACCAGCCGGTAGGCTGGTATGATTCATTGTGCATGTTTTTCTGATCTTGTAAAAGTCACATCAATCTTTTGATGAGTCATGTCTATCTCTGCATCACTTCAGATATTCTCTCAGGTTTTAGTATCACTATTGATGTGCTTTCATGAAATATGATTATAAATGAGTGCTAAAATATATAAAGAAATAATTCCTCCCATCTTTTCGGCATAATTAAAAACTCTGCAAACATGCCGATGTTTCTTTTTCACCTTGTGACTGAGATTTTGATGTCTGACACCGTGTAGCTTGTTTTCAACCAAGCTGAGTTCGGGTTTCGTAACAGTCTCTCATTTAAATTATGAAGTTTTTCGCTTGGGCTCCCAACATAGTTGCAATGATTTCATCGTCTTTAAAATTTGAACTACATAGGAACTCTATTGAAAGTTTGTTCTTTACAATCTGTTTCTAAAGGTTTTCTCTGTTTTGCCAACTATAGATGGACATAAAATTTCAGAGAATTACGAATTCTGTATTAGCTTTCCATACTAATAAAATATTTATCAGATATAGAAATTCCGATTCGATTGTAAATGTACTATGTGTCCCTCAATAGGTGTACTTTGCTAACTCTTTTGTCTTTGCAAAAAATATTGTATGAATAACACAAAGTGAACATAACTTTGTAACAGATTACGATGGCAAACAGTGGTTTCATTTTCTTTCAATGAAACAACTTGATATAGAAGTGATGCGATAAAATATATTGCGCATTCTTTGATGAATATTTATTCAATTCAAACATCTTAATTCATGTTTCTTTACCGAAATAGTCGTTAATATCATAAAACTATTTTAGTATGCAAAAGTAAACACTCATGTGATCAGTATTTTCAAAAAAAGTGATGTAAAAAGTCGGAAAAATTTAGACTGACCGACCTAGAATAAATAGTGTCCTCCAGTGGGTAAGAAACCCTAAACTGAACCGGCCGCTTCCATTACCGATTGCATACTTGACCTATTCTGATTTAAATGTCTATCTACTCGAGACAAAAAACCTACTAGTAGAGGATCATGCGAGTACACCGTACATCACTTACAGTAATTGATCTACACATAGAAATCATGTTAACTCCATTGAATTTAGATTGTTGAATATATTTTCTCATTAAGAACAATTATATTCATAAGGCGATAACTAACCTGTCACAACAGTTGGTGCCACTTGCGGACGCATCCGATTTCTTATCCAACTGACAATTAAAGGAACAATAATTTTGAGAGCGACTGAAAGCCCACCAAACAATCCAATGACGGTTGTGATTACATAAAGTGCATTATTGTGCAATGTCAATAAAAAGAAACATTGCTTGGGTGCACATTGCTGATAATAATCTTCATAATGCACATTTTCATACCATGTTTCGATCATAAGCTCGTTGATAATTTCTTCAACAGTTGTATTAGGAGAAAATCGTGTTGAATTTGTCAGAAGTTTCGATCCATTGACTACTAAAGAGGTTACAATAACATTGACTCTTTCTTGTATACCATCAAAACATGTTTCATCGAAAAAACATTCAAGCGAAGATAAAAGCACGGATTGAAGAATGAAACAACTCTTATACATATTCGAAATATTGAATTGAATACCTAGTGGTTGGACAGTGAGATATGATGTATAATTGTACAAACTTATTGTATTCTTGCATTCATCACTAAGTGCACATGAGCAATTTTCTATTATAGCAGGTGCTGGTAGAAAATAGATTTCTGTTGTGTTACTCATCCAAGGAATATTGTACCAATAGACATTATCGTATCCGGCTGTATACGTAGTTGTAGTCAGAGAACGAATGATTGCAAGATTGCGTTTGAACTCGGCTACTGTATTGGATTCGAATTGTGTCAATATTTGTTGTGTATGAGCCAGTAATTCCTCATAGGCCAACGCTCGATCGTTGACGAATGATGTTTCATTAAAAATGAACAATGCATTGAGGACAGTCGTGTTCGCAAGTGCACATAAAATTTTCAGAGAATTAAAATATGCATGTCCAACAACTAGAATATCATTGCTAGAGAAAAGATTGTATTGACCTGCGGCTAATAGAGCTGATCTCCATTCATCAGATAAGAACCAACTTGAACAAACTGGATGAAACGATGGCGATACTTCCATAAATGACCCATACGGAACGGCAATGCGTTCACAAGGACATTGAAATGAACGAAGATTTTTCCCATATAAATCTTCAAAGGTACTTTGAGATGGCGCATACACGGTCATTATTTGAACTTGAAAGCTTAAGCCAGTAAAAAAGGCGATAACAATCATTGAAAAACAGAGAAGAACTAAATAGGCACGTGTCGAAATCTTGGCAGTGGTCAATTCGAATGGATCAGTGCGTGTTAAGTTACTATTGAACAAGTTCAGTTCGACCATTTTTATTTTTATCCATTGCCATGTTATTTGAAGACGCTCCATCAAAGGATGAGCTAAAAGACAGACACTTACTGTAGTAATACTCTTGATAGTGAATGCTTAAGGAGTTTTAAAAAGAAAAACTAATAAAAAAGATAGAAATTGTAATCAATATATTTTACAGACAGTTTGAAGAACAACGAAAATCTATATCAGATTGGAAAAACATTAGTACTTTTCTGGCTTCAGTTCATATTACTAGGATAACCAGGAAAATGTCGAGGGAAGAGCTCCGTCCCGAGCATTTCAAAAGGTTCCCAAGCCAATGATACTCGATCTTAAACGGCCGTATACATTCAAATACGACAAAAAACGTCTGCCGTTTATGGTAGCTGTTTACAGTGATCGTAAAAGATGCCTTAAGACTCATAGAGTTCATTATTTACGGCTTCCATGAAAATACGGCAACTCTAAACTACTATCGGATAAAGTTGTCAGTAATTGTTTACGTCAGCTGAAACGGCTCAATGAGTGTTAACCGCTTTCTCTCATACTTCATCGTTAAAGGTCGTTTACGTTCGGCGTGCCCCAATCAAAATGAAGATTAGGATCAAACAATTCTAATTCTACTGGCTGTCCCTTGACCTGATTCATTAAGCAGAACGCGTTTTCCAAATCAGTATAAACTTAGCCAATGGAACGTGTTTGACCTGAAATTCTAGTATTTTCGATTCGAAGATATGTACTTGTCTAGGTTTTCACAGTCTATTTAAATAAAAACCCTATGGTAGCCTAGGAAATAGAAATAGTGTCCCTGATGACCCCCATCGCAACCCAGATACTGCTCTTAGCATTCAAAATAAGGCTCCATAAGTTACATAAAGAAGTTGGACAGTTCATGCAACGACAATGGTGCACCGACTGGCCGGTGCTATTGGGCAATTTTCAATAGATTTCTGTGCCTATGTTATATGATACATCCCTGAAACTCGCACACTTCATTTGCCAGTTAAGATTGACCTGCTGTACAAATAAAGTGACTTTTAAAAGTGTTCATCATAGACTTACGACGTGATGGAGAATGAAGCCAGTGAGAGTGCAAAATCCTACGATGGAGATCGGTCCCTCCGCGTGCACCGAGCCCTAAGCCGTCCCAGTAATGGTGAAAACCAACCATCACCATAGGTTCCTGATGCCTTAATCAGCATCATTAGCCTTCATGATAATTAAGGATGCAACAATGACAATCATTCAGCGGTACACCGTCACCGTCTCATTGGTCTAAACTGATAACCATAGGTATGGTTATCGACCCAAACCAGTTTTCATGAAAGAAAGGCTTTCTCAAAAAAATAGCATTTTTTTTTATAAAGGTTGACGATAGTAAATCAGGATCAGAGAATTCGAATCTGCAATCAGTTTTTCGAAATTTTGAGTTCGAATTTTCTACGAAAAATGAGCCTACTGAAAGTCGTGTTTTTCTCAGAAAAGACTTAAGTAAATGAAAAAAAAAATTTAAATCAATTTTTTCCCGAAGAAAACATTTGATGTCGAAAATTTGAACTCAAAATTTCGAAACAACTAATTGCAGATTCGCATTCCTCGGCTTCGATTTCTTTCGTCAACCTTTATATAAAATCGTTATTTTCTTAAAAAACCCTTTCTTTCATGAAAACTGGCTTGGACCAATAACCACACCTTCGGTTATCGTCACTGTTGTATCCCTAATCATGATGCTCAAAACTATATAACTGAGTGCACAATGCTACGATAGATGAAACATTTTCTTTTACAGATGAGTGTGATGATGAAGCCAGCTATAGGGACGATTGGGCGATGAAAGCCTACAGTGATGGCCAGCGGATGGGCATTACATTAGGTACCCTGAACCTCAAAACATCCATATACTGGTAGAAACCGACCATCACTGCAGATCTCTGATGTTTTAATCAGTATTGTTGGCCTCAGGAGTATTAGTTAAGACAGTATTTCTAAGTTTCTGGTTTTGAGTATCATGATTAGGGATACGACAGTGCCGATAACCTAAGGTGTGGTTATTGGTCCAAGCCAGTTTTCATGA